TCTCCTTTCCTATCCTGGGACCCCATTTTTCTTGGCCTCTTTGAGACAGAAAGAAATAATCCCCTCTTGGCATGTCCGCATTCTAACTGTGCATTCTTCTTCTCTTTACAGAACATAATCCTGACCTTCTTGGTGCTTGACCTGCAGGTCCAGAGTGACCTTTACTTTCTTGTGGGCCCTGACGGGCCCAGCATGAGCACTGGGCCTGCAGGCTTTAGCTGCCGCTCCCTCAGCCCCTCAGCAGGAGTCTGAACACTCTGCCACACCTGGCTCTCAGAGCCAAGCAGCCCCATCACTGCCTGGAGTTATGAATTGTTGAAGTCCTTCTTGCTGGAGAAGATGCACTCCCAGTCACCCTCTCCTCACTGCTGACCCTTTGACATTGGTTCTCTCCTCCCCTGCTTCTTCTCAGCCAGCCTGGCATCCCAAAGCCTGTTCCTTTGACCATGGCAGTCCATTTCTAAGACAAGATCTATGTCTGTAAAGAACATGAAAGGAACGGGACAACAAAAGGAATATTGGAAAGGAAGTATGGGTAAACAATTATCTATGGAACTGGGAGGAAAGCTTAGAGTCTTTTTGAACTCTTTTTCTCAAGCTTCAGGTGTTCACAACAATTAACACCTCACTATTTTCTTATTTATTGATAACAGTAGATCATTTTTCAAGAGCAGAGCAGGATTTGTGATCCTAGACATTTTCATGACACTTGAGAAAAAATTTCACATCCCCTGAATGCCCACAGCAAAATGCCTTTGTTGCCCATCCGCATACAACTTGCTAATGTGCTGTGCATTTAACAAGAGGAAACTCACAAATGAATTATGTTAGGAAAAATGTATTGGCATAGAGCTACCACTGGGAGAAGGGAAAGGAAGGGATGCAAAAAGAGTTTGGGGAGGTCCAGAGTTGTGCCTCATGCAAATCAGATGATATCATTTTAATTTTATGAACTCAGACTTTGAAGTCTGCAAGTCTGAGGCAAGACAGAGCAGCACTGAGCTGAGAATCATGACTTAATCCTAAAAATGGACAGCTTTAGACTCAGACCAAGTTGAGTGGCTGCAACAAGCCTGCATTTATGCTTTCTAATAAAGTACGTCTTAAAGTCTCAGCAGTTGCCTCTCTGTGTGATAAACTCTTTCTACCTAAGGGGAAGCAAGGGGTGTCAGCTTTCCAGGGACAGCCTTTGAGGCAGGATTAGGTAGAAAAGAACCTGCAATCATATGTGGAATATAGCTCTCTCCTCTCGATGCAGAACTCGCTCCCTATTTCCTAACATGGGAAAATGGGTAGAGAAACTTAACTTCATAGAAGAGAAGAAAACACCTTAACAGACGTTTGGGGATCTACCCTGTCTCCTCAAAGAGATTTTGCCTTTATCTGATCAGGTTGTCTCTTCCTGATTTTTCCTGCAGACTATCTAGAATCTAGAGGCCAACTAAACTGCCTCGATCGAGTCATTGAAAAGCTCTTTAATCCTGAATCAAACCAGGTTGGAATTTCACAAGGGGAATTCTGATTTCCCCTTAATTTCTACTCAAAAGTTTCTTTTGTAAAATTCCAACTTTAAAAGACCCCAAAGAACCAATTAGATAAAAGTAACACCTTCCAATGCAGAAAGCAAGACATGGCAGAAGTTTAACCGTGTTAAAGTTCTGATAAGAACGTATCATTTAAAGAGAGGAAATTGAGAGGCTGAAAGACAAAACTGACACTAGCCTGTTAGCACTGTCCAGGAGAAAAGTGTTCTCTGGCCCAAGAATATGGTTGTTTATCTTGATTTCCAAAGTGGACAGGGATAAACTAGTGTATCAGAGCCTGAAGAAATGAGCAGAGGGACAACTACTGACGGTGCTCACAGATATTCATGCCTGCCTCTTCTTCCTGGTCTGTCCTTTGTCTTATTAGAAGATACACCAGCCAGGCCTCCGGACCCCACCCTAGCAAGGCAGTGCAGTAAGCTGGAGCTCGGCAGTCAAAGAGAATATCACCCATTGGGTATTTTAGGCGTTGCCAGTTGGCACACAACTTATCCCCCAAGGACCTGTCCTGTAACCAGCATCTCCTGACCTTGCCCTGTTCTGCAGAACTACCTGGCACGTGCAGGCTCACTGCGCATTCGTCCAGGGGTCCTGGGCAGCAATGACCCTCCAGGTCTGTGGAGCTGGAGCCTAACACCAGGTACCTACGTAGTCTCCAGGGAGGAGGGAGACCACCCCGGAAATTCACCCTGAGGTGGTAGCTGCAAATTGGCAACAGTCAGTCCCCATTTGGACTTGCTGCCTGGTGGCTCCAGGCTTGTCCAGCAACCAGGGCTCCCAGGTCTTTTATCTAGGTGGGACCATGTGTCCAGTTATTACAATAGAAGTGATTTATGACACCTTCCCATCCAGGCAGAGAACAATAGCTTGCCTCCTCCATGCTCCTTCTCTCCCTATCTTCAGTCTTGTGAAGACCCCAAGGACCTAGGGGAGGGCATACTCAGAAGACAGAAGGAGCCGGGATCTCTGAGTGATTGAGTGGGGCCAGGGTCTGTCACTCACACTCTGCTGATTGTGTCATGATTAAGAAATAAACATTATTTCTGTGAAGCCACTGAGATGTAGGGGTGGTTTTTGCAGTAGTTAGTTTAGTCTGACTAAAACAAACATAAACATTGTAACCTGACTGTACTTCAATAAAAAGTAAAATGAAACAAAGAAAGATAAATAGTATTTAAAAAGACTCCACTACATTGCTTCAAACCTCACCAAATGACTTTCTGACAACGGGTTGGCTTCCTCAGAACTTCCGGGTATCTAATATTCCATACTTATCAGGAAATGTGAGACTTGGCCCACACTCCATTTTATTTCCGGTATAAATTAGCTCTCTTGTATTTTTTAAAACATTTTTTATTGATTTATAATCATTTTACAATGTTGTGTCAAATTCCAGGGTTCAGCACAATTTTTCAGTTGTACATGAACCTGTATATATTCATTGTCACATTTTTTTCTCTGTGAGCTACCGTAAGATCCTGTATATATTTCCCTGTACTATACAGTATAATCTTGTTTATCTATTCTACAGTTTTGAAATCCCAGTCTATCGCTTCCCACCCCCAACCCCCTTGGCAACCACAAGTTTGTATTCTATGTCTATGAGCCTATGCTTCTTCTTGATTTGATGATTTTCTGTATTTGTGTAATTTGACTCCTTCCTTTTTATCTTTTATTTACCTACGACATGTTTTTGTTTTATAGTTACCATGAGAGTTACATAAAACATAGTTATAGGAATATATTTTAGGCTAATCACAATCTGACTTCAAACTCACACAGAAGCTCTATGCTTTTACACTCCCCTCCACATTTTATGTTTTTGATTTTTTACATATTTT